TACTGCTTTCATTCAGTCATTCACTCATTTGTTCAGCTCTGGCCTAGTTAACATTTAAAAAGAGAATGAAAACAGGAAAAAGAACACACAAAAGGTACCACATATCTAAGGTATGGGAGCATTAGATTCCCTAGTCAATGATTTTGGTGATGATCCAGAAGACACTTTTTTATATTTGTGGATAATTAGTAGCCAGAAATGTAGAAAAGCCACTGAATGACAGGATTCTTGACCAAAGGATTTCAATGGGCTATAAAGAAACATAATGAGAGTGTGTAGGAGCCAGATGTGCGGCACACACCTGCTACACCAGCTTCTCAGTAGGCTGAGCCAGGAGGATCACAAGTTCAAACCCAGCCTGGGCAATTTAGCAACACCCCATCTCAAAATAGAAAGTAAAAAGGGGCTGGGAATGTAGCTCAGCCATAGATAGTCCCTGGGTTCAATCCCCAGTACTGCAAAAAACAAAACAAAGCATGAGGGTTTGGAATGAATCAACAATGTACCTATATAAGGAAACATGTGTTTTTGTGCAAAAGCTTAAGGAGCCCTAATCAGGGCCATTCAGTAAATTCAACCAGGCCCATTCAGTAAGCTATTCAGTAAATGCCCCAGGCCTGATGGGGCCACAGAAGAGGCTCCTGATGCAGTGAAAGAAGTACAGAAGCTCGGTCATAGTCCCTAGGAATAGAGGGAGGAGCAGGGAAACCTGGAGTCCAGAACCTCTGCATTCACCTTCGAAAAGTGGCCAGAACCCTAAATAAATCAAAAGATCTTATATGGCCAGAAGCAATGGTACAGGCCTGCAGTCCCAGCTACTTGGGAGCCTGAGACAGGGTGATTGCTTAAACCCAGGTGTTCAAAACCAGCCTGGGCTACACAATAAGACAACATGTCAAAAACAAGAAAAATGAAAAACGAAGATCTTATAAACAACAGCGGTACCAACCTAGACAGAGGAGAAAGTAGCCAGAATGGATGGAAGCTCTGCAGCAGGAACAAGAAAAGTGAGGGAGCTCCAGGGCCATGGCTCCTGCACAGGGCCATCAGATGCGGGCATTGCCATCATCCTTGGACTCTGTTGGCTGGGTTCTCAGAGGGGGCTTCCCAGTTACCTCCAGTTCTCCTGTTTCGATTTCTATCTCAACATCTTTCCCCTTCTTGCTCAACTCATCCAACTCAGAAAAGAACCCCTAGGCCTTCCAGTGCTTTTCTCTCTGCTTTTCTCAAAGTCTTCAGAAGGAAAGGAATAGTTGTGAGGCACTTTTGATCCTGAGTACAGTGAACTCTCAAGTTACGACTGGCTTCACATATGAACGACTTGGGTTATGACTGGAATTTTAGTTTTAACTTAGGAACAAAGTCTTGAGTTACAACCCAAATGCTGGTCACTTGTGCCTCTAGATGGTCTCAGATACAGATTTCACTCTTAAAGAGTTTCAGAAGGAATATGACAACATCTTTTCCGGTGTGGGGTTAATTGAGAGAGCCTGGGCCAGTGTCCCTCTAAGGAACTGAGATCTGCCTGTGTACAGGAGAGAGACTTTGAAGTCTATGTAGAGGAGCCTGAGGCTTCAATTGGCCAACTTGAGTTACAACCAGCCCTCAGGAATGAATTAAGTTCATAAGTCAAGGGTCTACTGTATCTCACCTGCAGGGAGACTGATAAATTGTCCCCCTTCTAGAGGAAGCTGGAAGAAATTTCTACAACATGTCATTTGAGCAACGACGGGACGAGAGTCCTGGAGAGAAGGTGCCCAGGGCACGGGAGGTTTCTAGGTACCAGTATTCAATAAATTTTCATGTGGAAAAGAAATTGGCTCAGTGGATGGGTCAAATAATAGCTTTCTCTTCCCCTCTCTTCTCCTCTTTCTCCTTCTCCTTTTCAGTGCTAGGGATAGAGCCTCAGCCCTTACACATTCTAGGCAAGTGCTCTACCACTGAGTCACGGGTATTTAACTTCTTTGAAATGGGAACGTGTCTAGCCACAGACACAGGTTGACATAAACAAGACTTGTGAGCCAGTGGACTAGATTAGCTTTTGACTGATAAAATTGTCAACGTGCCTGCTTGGTGCACCTAGCAGAGCTTTCTACAAGAGATTTGGAAGGGTGTGCTTCTTAGACTAAGGAGCTCAAAACTGTTCAGAGGATGTGTAATGACGCCAAAGGGAGTAATAAGATCACAAGGTTATTGCACCCAACTCATGCTGGGTATTTTCCCCCTTGCTTCAAGCTACTTAACCCATTCGGAATGAAACTCCTGATACAACGTCAGCCATCCCAAGCCGAGCAGCTCCACATTCAGAACATTGTAGAAGACCTGCCCTTGACTGCCTTCAGTCTCTAATACTGATGCTGTGCCACTTTACTTCAGTATTGAATATTAAAGCTGTTCAGGCTCTACCAGCAGTGTGTTCCTGAATAATGGCAAGAAAGAAACCTCAAGAGAATGTTTGCAGCTGATAACAAGAGAGAGTGTCTGGTTTTGCTAACCAAACAGGAGATGAAATGTTCTTTTGTATGTGAGCAGGAAGCAAGCAGATAGTCACTTCAATAGCTTTTTATACCCAGCAGGCATGTTGAATTTGATCTTTCCCATCAGTATTATCTATAAAACCTCTTTCATGTGTGATTTAGTTAGAACCGTCCTGTAGCCCATTATTCAAAGGTATTATCTTTTTCAGGGAGAGGGGTGAGAGTTATACTTTTATCCCCTGTATAGAAGTTAAAATGAAATCACAAACAAAACCTCAGAACTGTTTATAGCATTTATTGAGTTCTGTATGAGAATGCTAATTCAACTCAGAAAAAGAAGTTGTGAAGAAATTGCTGACTGTAAGTAAAAGCCTGCAACTTTTCAAAAGAAAGTTGGGGAATTTGTGAAGGACCACACCTTCTGCATCACGGATTTCACATAATCATAGTTAGAGTTGGCTCAATTAACTTTAAATAACTGAGCAATGCATTCACATTGTTGATGAGCATCTTACTGTAATATAAAGATCCTTTTAAACTTTCCATCATATACCTATTCTGGCTCCACAAACTCAGTGTAGATTCATTTCTGGCAGTGGGTTTGGGAAGTGTTTGTGTTTAAACAAGAATCAAAATAGCATTTGAGGAAATAAAAAGCATTAAGTTTTGTGAGTTGTTTTATGGGCCATTTTCCCCTAGACTTAGCTGAAGGAAAATAATTGTCTCTCCTAAAAAGCCCTCCTTGGTTTTTCCCTGCAGATGGTCATGCCTGTGCCTACACTGTTGGTGAACTCCACACCCCTCTAGCACTGAGTGGATTCCTGCACTGTCATGGACTCTTTTTGTCAGCCTCCCCATCAGACCCCAAGCCCCTTTTAAGCAGCGGTGGTGTCTTTCCATTGGGCCCCCCCTGGCTGGGCTGCAGAAGGGCAATGCTGCTATGACTAATTCTTGGGAGAAGGTGTGGGAGTGGCAAGCAGCTCCAGGGGAAGCAGAGGGCTCTCTGTGTCCCAGGCTTTCCTTGGTTGAGGACCAGATGGAAGAAAGATCAGCTGTGGGCTCCCACCTCTCCCACGGGTGATCATGTGGTTTGAGAGGAACCAGGGTGTGCTGGAGGCAGAGCACAGGAGCTGGGGAGAGTGGTGAGGGGTAATGGAAAAATACAAAGGGCTGGTCGAGCCCAAAGGTGAGCCTGAATTTCAGAGTCTTGCTTTTCTTAGGAATCACCAGGTGGGGGGCGGGGGGAGTATTGCTCACATGCTGCAGCTCTTGTCCTCCCCATGCACTGCCTGTGGGGAGCTGCAGGTAGCCACCTCTGAGGCTCTGAAATGTGGCAATTTTAGGTTGCCCAATCTTCTCAGGTGGAAAGGGAGTCCAGTCCTTCAGGAAGAATCACTGGCCCATTTAGGAGCCATCACAGCCCCTTTTATCATGACCATCTGTCAGGTTCCAGTAGGACTATTTTCAAGCGTGCAGTATTTACAGGGACAAGACTGGACTGCTCTGTGAAGCCCAAGACAACTTCAGCCTTTGAGCTGATAGAGACATAATTGAGGAACAAACAACGTGGAATTAATGTCATTGTAAGTAACGTACTGTCACAAGTTAGCTTCACCAGGTTTTGTTCTGGTAGCAGCAGAAACACTCATCTTGCTAGCTAACTGCCACCGTGAAGTTTCTTTCTCGAGTATTTAGGAAATAAAATTCAAGCGCTCAGCCCTCACAAGTTGCAGGAGCGGTTTCACGCCTCAGCTTTTCAGAGGTATCAGGGGTCACTCCTTGTTTTGCTTCTAGGAAGCACAGGGTTGTGGAAATGACCTGGGCGGGTGCCTAAGTGCAGCCGAAAAAGCCACAGAGGCCCTGCCCTGGGAGCGGAGTCTGGTCCTCGGTCTTCCCCAAAGTGCCAGGGAACCATCCGGTGCCCGTGGACTGTCCCGGTCCGGAGCGCCCTGCGAGGAGGGTCTCTGGCGCCTTCCTAGACGTCTCGGGACAGTCTGGCGAGGTCAGGGCGGAGGGACAACGCGGGAAGAGCGGGCAAGGGGAGCGGGCCGACTGCGCCTCGCTCTTCTGTGCCAAGGACACCGTCGTGGAGGCGCGGCCAACTTCCTCTGGATCGGACTTCCCGCCCCGGGGGCCGGGCGGTGGAGCTCCAGCCCTGTCCCCTCTCTAGTTTCGGACGGCCCCCAAGAGCTGAGTAAGCCGGGTGGAGGGAGCCTGCAAGGATTTCCTGAGCGCTGGGGGCAGGAGGGCACGTAGCAAGGACCCTGAACCTGTCAGGGCCGCGCTCCTGGACCCTGACAGCCCGCGCCTCCGCAGGCGCAGTCGGCCCCCGCCACCCGCCCTCGGCGGCCCCCGCCCCTCTCCAGAGCCTCAGGGAAGCGAACCCGGGAGGAAGACGAGGGTAGATGGGGAGGCGGATGAGGGGTGGGGGACCCCTTGACGTCACTGGAAGGAGGTGCCGGGGTAGGAAGTGGGCTGGGGAAAGGTTATAAATGGCCCCCGCCCTCGGCTCCTCTTCATCAGGGTCCGCGGGAGGCTCCGAGAGCCAGGCGGACGCTCTTCGCGACTCCTCCCAGGCGGCGGCGGCGGCGGCTCGGAGCGGGCTCCGAGGCTGGAGCGCAGCGGCCAGCGGGCGCCGGGCGGCGAGGATTATCCGGGGAAGCGTTGCCTCCTGGCTGGAGCCTCGGAGAGGGGCTCCCGGGGTGCAGGGCAGAAGCGCAAAAAGACGGCTCAGGCGGCCGGGTCGTCGGACGCAGAGAGCGCGAGGTCCGGGCGAGCAGGCCGCGTCGCGCTCACCATGGTCAGCTGCTGGGACACCGGCGTCCTGCTGTGCGCGCTGCTGGGCTGCCTGCTTCTCCCAGGTGAGGCGGGACTGCGACGGGGCTGCAGGGCGCGGAGATTGTGGGGCCGGGGCCAGGCGCACGCGGGGAGGGCTGGAACCTGGGACCCTCATCGCAGCGGGCACGGCAGGGGCCACGGCGCCTTTTCTCCGAGTAGGCGCCTCGGAGCGGCTGGCCGGGACCCGCGGGCATCACCGTCCAGCCTGGCCGTGGCGCCGCGCCCGGGTCGGAGCTGGGGCTGCCCCATTGCAGCCGCAGTCGCGGTCCCCTTCCAGGCTCCCGGCTCGGGTCTCCCCACGGAAGCTCTGGGCGCAAGGGGCACCTCTCACACGGACTTTCCTGGCACCCAAGCCTGCTCCCGGGCGGCCTGGAGCGGGTCCACAGGTTCCCTGGGAGTCGAGAGCAGCGGCTCCTGGACGCCTGCGAGGCTGCCGGGGCGTGGGCGATGCTGGGTTCTGGCACAGGCCTCGCGCCACGAGGGATGAGGAGGAGGAGAACAATTCGGAGAGGGTCGCATGCTTGCGGGGAGCGGATGGATTTCAGGAGCGGCGGGCACTTGTGCCCCAGATTGTTCGCCCGGTGGCTCGGCTGCGCCCACTCCTCCTCGCCCAGAGCGCGCCCCAGATGGGGCTCCGTAGGGTGCAGGCCAGCCCAGGTCGCCAGCACTAGTGACCCTGACCCGCCAGGGCAGCCGAGGGCCCACGTACCGTTAAATGCAAGAATTGCAAGCCTGACCTGTAAATTCCGAGCCAAGAAAAAGGCTGACAATTTGGACCAAAAGATACAGGTTGAGGAATCATTGAGGTTTGCTTGCTAAGTCAGCTCTCGCCGGGCAGGCGTTTGGAGGACAGGTGGTGGAAGTGTCAGGGTCCGGAGATTTTAGGAACAGTTAGCGCAAAGACCGTCGCCATCCAAGGGTCAAAGCCCAGGGACTTGGGGCACTCGGACTCACGGTCTGTGCGAAGTAGGGCTGAGGGGCCAAACCCTCTGGAGTGGTCTGCTCTGCAGGGAGAGCCACAGTTTGAAGCCCTTTTTTTTAAAAGTGGGGGCGGGGGACAGGTAAAAATAAGTAAAATAAGGTAACGTAAGGTAAACCATTGTAATGATTCCCGGGAAGGAAAGTCAGTGGGGTTAAACACATTATTTAAAATGAACAAAACTTGGTAAACCCGAAAGGCTGTGGCAGATGTTTTTTTCTTGGTGGGAAGACTAATCAGACCATCAGCTTTTAAATAACAAGCAGTTCTAAGTGGCAATTAGATCGGTAAAACCAATAAACGCGGAGGCAGGTTTTGAAGTCCCAGTATCTGAGAACCCAGGTGGGGAACGGTACAAACTATGTTAAATATTTCACGTTCTATTTCACAAACACATTTTTTTGTTTTGTTTTGAAAGGCTGCTTATATTAAAATATAATTGCGTAGAGAATTTTAAAAGCTCACCGGTCTACTATATAAAAGTAAAACTAGGAAAATTTCTTTGAGCTAAAAAACGTGGTGGGAGAAAGCGCATCTTACTGGATTTTTTCTGCTTAACACACATATGTCTTTTTTTTTATTTCAAAAGAGTGGTTGACTTTAGTGATGTGTAGTTTTGTTTGAGTTGAGCGTCTTGGAGAAGCTTTACAGGTCGTGCGTAGGATCCTCTGGTGATTTTTCTTGCATCGTAACTTATTTAATGAAGCAGGAGTCTGGGAGCTCTTTCTCACTTTTAAATTGTTTTACAAGTGTTATGGGAAGAATGGGGGACAAAAGTCGGCAAGGTGCGACCCCTTCACTGCTTTGAAAACGTTTTATCAGCTAGCAAGCAGGTTTGTAGCTGCCAAGCAAGCCTGTGAAACCGCAGCTTCTCCGGCTGGATAACAAACATCGCACCGCCAATCAGCTACCTGCTTTCTAAGTCCCTCTGGCTTTTTCAGTCCAACAAGGGGGTGGAAGCTGCATTTCTCTGGCCTGAAAGAGGCCCCCCATTTCCGCCCTGTGGGCTTTATCAGGAGTCTGCTTGCACCTCTGTTGAGGCCAGAGCTGTCTCTGCAGATGCTGTAACTTTGAATATTTATCAGTTATCGATATTGTGCGTGTGCGTGTGTGTGTGTGTGTGTGTGTACAGGCACGATGTGTAAAATAACCAGAGATTGAGTAATATAAAGAGATCACGAATTTCCCTTCTAACAAGTACTTACCTTCTTCCAAATTTGTAAGAAGAAGAAGAAAAAAGATGCCTCCAATTCAGATACTTTCCTCTGTATTGTGATCTTTCTCTCTAGAAAGGGTAACAGTCTTTTTTTCCCCAGCTTTAAGACTCGCTCTCTTTTAAGGCACCTCACACTTAAGCAAAGTCACAGATCCCCTTCCCCTCTTTTTTCTTGAGTTCTCCAGCAGCTGACATTTATGATTCACTGTAACTAATTAGAAATACTTAATTGTGAACTTTATGAGGGCAGTCCACAGTAACATTAAGTTCAATCAGAATGTATGTGAAAATAATACGTATTTCCAGGTTGAATGTGACGCATCTCTCAAAGCTTCTTTTATGCTGTAACTTTTTGTTTTTGCCAAGGTTTATGAAGCCACACTTTCCCCACAGAACCGCATCTTTGAAATGTTCATTATGTAGGACTTTGGTGATCCACATAATTTTCCAACTGATGGGTCACGTTGCAGATAAACTAGGCAACCACCTACTCCAGTTCCCCAAATATTTTTACTTTATTTTTTTATTTTTATTTTTTGTACCAGGGATTGAACTCAGGACCTTGTGCTTACAAAGCAGTCAGTGGCACCACTGAGCTAAGTCCCTGGCTTTACTTTATTTTTCAGTACAGTACTTTGTTAGTTTTTTCTTTCCCTGATGAAAATTCTCTAACAGGATGTATAATTTCTCATCTAATAATCACCAAGCGGTCTTTTTGTTTTCATATATAAAATGCAGAAAATAGAACACCTGGCTGATTTCTAAGCCTCTTTTCCAGCTCTAAAATTCAATAAATGATTCCAAGAAACTGATTGAACTCAATGTCTTTCTCCGCCTCTATCCGCTCCCTCCCTCCCTGTCCCCCTCCCTCCCTCCCTGTCCCCCTCCCTCCCTCTCTCTCCCCCTCTCTTATTTACATTTGCATACAGAAACTTTGCTAAAGCAAAGCTGTGGCTGTAAGGATGAGCTGGGTTTCCCTTTTACTAACAGTAATCACTGTACTTTCTTTTTCTCAAGTACAGTAGAATATACCTAACCATCCAATTGGTCTTTATTACTTGCATTTTGCAAGAAATGGGATGATAGAGAATACTTAAGTCATTATCTTGAGATCATTATCTTGAGATCATTATCTTGAGGGGGGGGTTTCACCAGCAAAATGTGCTATCACAGGATGGCTGCCTTAAGTACTAAAGGTACAAGTTATTTAAAACCGTATGTTTTTTGATTTTTAAAGAAATTGTTCAAGAAATGGCTTTATTCTAAGAGTTCCAGTTTTCAACAGGGCAACTAAAACTTCTAACTTTAAAAATGAATCTATTTTATGTGGCTTAAAAATCAAATAATTGCTTCATTTTTATTAAAAACTATTGGAGGTGGCCAGGGATTTAACTCAGTGGTTTTGCCGCCTGCTGCGCAAGCGCAAGGACCCAAGTTCGATCCCTGGTACCAAAAAAAAAACAAACCAAAAACCTATTGGGACATTTCTAAATCTATTTTGAATTATATAATATAAAAATTGAGCTGGCATGAGGTAGGCATACTCTACCATGAGTATAGGTAGACACACCTATACTCCCAGCACTCTGGAAACTGAGGCAGGAGGATTGGCACCAGCGAGGGCTAGCTACATAGTGAATTCAGGCCAGCTTGAGCAACGTAGTGAGACCTTGTCTTAAAAAAAATTGAAATATGTTGCAAAAATGGCTGCATACTTACCCATGTGCCACCCATGGCACAGTTTGTAACAGCTAAAGCTTGGAAACAGCTCAAGTGCCCATCAACTAGAAACTGGATAAAAAACATGTGGGTTTTTTAATAAAATGGAGTACTACTCAGCCATAAAGAAGGAGAAACTAGAGTCATTTATAGCTAAATGGATGCATATTGAGGCCATACTCGTAAGTGAAATAAATAGGACACATGTGTAAATACCAAATAGTTTCTTCAGTGTGAGAAACTGAAAGTGTAAATAAGGATTAAAATGAGTAAAACGAATAATTGATAATTTGAAAGAGGAAGAAAAGGTCCAAAGGGGTAGGGGAAGTGGGAGGGGAAGGGGAAAGGAAAGAAGGGAAAGGAAAAATTATGAGAAAAGGGAAAAATGGAAACAAAATCTTTGTAAATAGGGAAGGGTGGAGGTGGTGAAGGGAGCACAGGGAATGGGGAAAAATAAGAACCAAGATGCATCATGTTCAGGTACAAGCACCCAATGATAAATGTAAGTGCATTGTATACCTAAAATGTGCCAATAAAAGAATTTAAGGGAAAAAAAATGAGTGCATACTGACAAAAAAAATAACATGCTTAAGGGAGATTATTCAAGGTATGGCCCATGTTTACCCTGACTTGGGCACCTCAACAAGGTGAGAACAAAAGACAGTAGCTCTGAGAGAGAGAGAGAGAGAGAGAGAGAGAGAGAGAGAGAGAGAGAGAGAGAGAGAATGGGAAAGTGCAAAGAGCTGTTTTGGTGCTAGGGTGTGAAATGGAAAGTCTTGGTGGTAGAGAACAGGCAAGTCAGGTTCTTGGTTCAGCTGCATGATTAAGCATATGTTGAGTGACCCCAAATAAATGTCATTTTTCAGTTGATTTCTCGTTGTGGATAGGGGAGGAAAGACATTTGACATCACAACAGGCTCTAGTTTTTGAAAAGTAAAAATATTTTACTGTGAGTGGTTGAAAACCACAAAAACATCTGTTGCATTGGGATTAAACAACATAATAGAACAGAACAGCCCAGTCTTTTCCATTAGTTTTACTCCGCTGGAGGCGCTTACAAGGATGACCAAGTCTCTTTCCAGATGCTTTCCAGGAGCTCGGTTGAGTCC